CCGCAGACACACGGACACGGAGTCAGAGCTGGCGTCACACACGACAGTCACCTGCCGCAGAGACACGGACACGGAGTCAGAGCTGGCGTCACACACGACAGTCACCTGCCGCAGAGACACGGGCTCAGAGTCAGAGCGGGCGTCACACACGACAGTCACCTGCCGCAGAGACACGGACACAGAGTCAGAGCGGGCGTCACACACGACAGTCACCTGCCGCAGAGACACGGGCTCAGAGTCAGAGCAGGCGTCACACACGACAGTCACCTTCCGAAGAGGCACGGTCAACGAGACATCAACCATCCACCACGCATCAGACGGACCAGTAGCCCTAATAGCGTTTTGGCGTGCTTTTTGAGGTCAGTAAAAACCATCTCCTGTTCAGCGGGCACAGGCAGGTGCAGCTCGTGACCCGAGGTCAGGTTAGTGGAGACCCTCATCTGTTCAGCGGGTGCAGGAAGGTGCAGCTCGTGACCCAAGGTCACATTAGTGGAGACCCTCACCTGTTCAGCAGGTACAGGCAGGTGCAGCTCATGACCCGAGGTCGGGTCGGTGACGGGCGTCAGCTGGCCGTCGGCCGTGTCCAGCAGCAGGAAGCGGCCGTCCTCCGTGTGGACCAGCGCCAGCGCCGAGTCCTCGGCCACGGGGCTGATGCTGACGGGCGCCGAGAGCACCGGCACGGTGACGCTGCCGAAGCCCGCACACCTCACCGTCACCGTCACGTCACACCCCACAGGCAGCGTCACGGCGAACAGGGCCGTCACGTCGTGTCGTGGGTACGTCACTAATGTCGTCACACATCATCAGTGGCGACCGAACATAGAGCAGCTTTTCAGTGGTTTCCCGCGAAGCAAATGGAAACCACAGTAGAGCATTAGCATGTTTTCCTGCCTCGTCTGCGTGATTGCATGGAACAGCAAGGCCATTTGCTGAAGACCGCAAAGTATGCCTCTCTCTGAACACCAATCAGGCAGATTCAAGCGAACTGGCATTAACCCTGCACCGCTCGGCTTGATTCGGGGAAATGTGTCGCACTGTCCGGTGCAGCCGGCGTAAAACAATCCTCCCACCATGGATGCAACAATCCGTCCCCGCTTGATGGGCACATACATGGCAAATCCATAGCAACAGTCTGGTCAGCTGTCAGTTTAAGGGGCAACGTTCTCGCCCAGAACACGCAACGCCCCACAAATCTGCCCTGATCCCCCCGCACGCGGCCGCGTGCCACTGAGCTAAGCCTCGCTCCCTTATTCCGACCGCCATGCCGTGGTTCCCACCGCCCAGCCCAGAGTCCGGTCGTCCTTCTCATAAGACAATCGCCGAACAAACGGACGGACGTGCTGATGGCGTGGGGTCTGAAGCGACAAGTTCAGTGACGTGATCGCTTTCAGGTGATCGGGCGATGCAGGTGATCGCCCCGCCGTCCAGCGCCACGAGGCCACCCAGCTTGACGCCTTGTTGCGAGAGGAAAACTTACAAAAGGACATGCATCATAAAACTCCCTGCGTGGTGTTCACTAACAGTTAGTGGGTTTTAAGGGCGCATCAAGTGCAATGGTCATTTGCGCCGGTTTTCAATAATATGCACTGCAGTGATCATGGTGCCCTAGCCCCCGTCATGCGTGCATGATGGCGCCTACGGCATCTCTGATAGCTGATACTGTCAAGAAGATACAATTTATGGACCAACCTACGGAAACTTTGTTCCACGACTGGTTTTCCAAGACTGCGATTTCTATGACGAAAAGAAAATCATCAGCTCTGGAATTGGCCTTCCCACCCCAGCCAGATGCAATGGATGCTTCATTTCATTGCACCGGATCGCTCTGCTTCCAAAACTGTGCTGCAATGCAGCGCTGGTGTACCAAAGTCCCATCCCATGCTGCGGGCGACGACTCTGCAGAAATATCGTGCCCTGGACGCCGCAAAAAGACAGCACATTGTACACATCAGGATGTGATGCTGCGATCTCAGATAGCTGACCCACCGGGGCAAGGCTGACCCACCTGAGAGCGACGCTAGCCGGGTCGGGGCCGCCCGGCTCGGGCAGCTCGACGTCCAGCAGCCAGAGCTGACAGCCGTCGGCGGAGCGGGCGGCGCACGCCAGGCGGCGCTCCGTCGCCAGGTGCCAGCACCAGGTGTCGGCCGGCGGCGCGCCCGCCAGCGCGCAGCTGGCGCGCCACTCGTGCAGCGGCGCGCGCACGGCGAACCCGGGCCCGCCGCCAGCCGTCACCTGGACAGGACAGGCGGGCGAGGCGGCCGGCTGCTGACCCAGCGGCACTGCCGAGGTACGCGTAGTCAGACTCCGCGGCACGCGCCGTCATACCCAGCACTCGAGCTGCGCGGCCGGGAGTGTGTACCGCGGGGGGACGACACTGGGCCACTGGGGACTGGAGGGTTTTACATTCAATTTACGCACTTGCATGCAGTGACACTGTTGGACGCGTGACTAGCTAATAACGCCCTGCTCTTCAGCGAAACGTGCGGCACCCCGCCGACATAACCTCACACCTCCCCGTCCCAGCCTTCAGCTACTCATACTGACACAGTCGGAAGGCGTGCAGACGGCGGTCGCTGGTAACCGCCCACAGCCAGCGGTCGGCGCCGGCCGGGCCCTGGCACAAGGCCGTCACCGCCGCCGGCAGCTGCAGCTCGTGCGCCGAGAGTGGCGGCGGCACGATCACGTGCGACAGTGGCGTCACCAGCAGGCGTCGGCCGTCCGCCACGACGGCCACCGCGGACCGCGCGCCGCACGACGGCCGCCACTGGTAGCTGAAGGTGAGCAGGCGACCAGTAGATGTCGCCACCAGTAGGCTGGGGATGGCGCCGAAGGCGGTCAAGGCACAGACACAAGGTTTCGCGGGAACAAGAGACCAACACAGCCATGCTAGAAGGGCGCGGAGATGAGGTTTACATTACCAGCTTCAGGACGGACCACCACAATTGAGACGAAAGACAAGATGCAGTCGTCCGCGTCCGAACGACAGCGAAAACGCGCGCGACGTTGGCGCTAGTCAACCCCACACAGCCTGGTGGCGTGGCGCGCAGAGCTGCCGGGCACCTCTGTCGACGCGCCTCCAGCTGTCCGACCGGCGTTCGCTCCGCGCTCGGCTGACCTGTAGCTGGCCAGCGGGTGCCAGCAGACGGCCGCCACGGCGTCAGATGCCTCGAACACGTGCTCCTGCTTGCAGTACCAGTGATAATTGCCCGTGGTCCAGAGCTGGACGCGCGACTGGCCCGACTCCAGGCCGTCCGCCTCCAGCCATACGGCCAGCACGGCTGAGTCCGGACTCCAGAGCAGCTCGCGCACCTGGACGGCGGACTCAGTTAGTCCAGTAGCGCTGCATCCCAGATTGCACGCAAACCGGGCGACAAGGCGCGGCACGTAAAGTCGATGGGGTGACTGGACACTCTGCGTCCACGTCCAGCCGCAAATCAGTGCAAAACGTGGCTACTGCAGGGATGTTGAGACACCCTAGCAGAACAGGGACCTGAACCTCGTCCCACCATCATGCCATATAACCCCAAACACCCGACGACAAGGGGAAACGATTCTCAGCGCTGGAGCACAGCATACCGAGCGCCGTGGACCACCGTCTGCGATGGTGGCCGCAGCCGGCGGCCGTAACTCACGTGCGCAGCGTGCGGCTCGAACGGCAGCGTGAACTCGCCGTGCCGCAGGCCGTTCTTCTCGAAGAACACCGTCTGCAGTCTGTTGGGCAGCCGCTGGACGGAGGCGATGACCGCGCCTGACGGCCGCCAGGCCAGGCACTGGCCCAGGCCGGCCACCGGCTCGCTGGTGGAGAGGCGGCTGCCATCGCGGCTGAACACCACGAACCGGCGCCCGCCTGCGGCACCGCGCAGGCAGGTGACGTCACCAGCGAGCCAGACCGGGGCCAGCGGCCGAGTGTGCCGCACACAGTCACGCGTCGGTGGCAGGTGGAAGCGAACGGGAACGTGCACGGCGAGCTGTGTCGTGTCTGAGCCCAGTAAATCGCAGTGTCGAGACTCAGAACGTGCCACCAAGGTCCAAAATTGCTGACAACTGTACATTGGTATCAGGAGCTGCAGAACCTGGGCCAAAATCATCAGCATATTTAGAGCCCGTTTCTCCACCGTCTGAAATCGCACATGCTTGTCTACTGCTCTCAACCATTTTTCGCGTCATTAACAACCAGCCCCAAGCTCTATCCGAGCGGGACTCAGCCCCGACTTGTCACACGGCTGCCGGCCGCCGCCTGGCGGGACGGCGCGCGAAGCAGCACGCACCGGAGGCGGGGCAGACGATGCTCACAGCCACCATCTGGCCGTCGCCGCGCCACGACAGCCGCGGCCGGCCGTCGTCGCCGCCGGCGGCCCCGGACGGCGGCGCAGACTCCTCCTGCCGGCCCGCCGTCGCCGCCGCCTTCCCGGCCGAGCCGTGGAACTGGGTCTCCTTGCGGCCCCAGCCGACCGTAACGGGCGCCACTGCGGGGCGAGGCAGCGCGTGACGACTCAGCGACGGTGCACGCCGGGCATGTAGCGGCCAGGACAGGCTGACACCACAGCGAGGATGTTAAGGCAGTCAAGTGAAATGGTAAGGAGCACAGCATCCAACCAAAAACAACAAGCAGTGATGCTTAGGCTCAGAGCCACAAGCACAACGGCGTCGGCGTGAAAGCGCAGCATTAAGAGTTTGCATTGATGCCTTTGTCCGATCGCTAGCTAGAGCCTAACATCACCTGATCTGAATCAGTTCCTCCACTTATTTATGCAGAACCATAAAGCAGCTAAGCTGCTATATCACATGTTTATAGCTTGTCCCGCACTTGTAAAACCTTGACCCACAAAACCCCAGCCAGACTCGACTCACTGTCTCCGAACTCCTCCGAGAAGACGGGAACCTCGACAACGGGCTCGAGCTGGGCCGTGACCAGCAGCAGGTCCGCGCGCGCCGAGACGAGTGCGGCCAGCTCCAGGTCCGGACTCCAGGCCATGGCCAGCAGACCGTCGGAGACACCGCCCACCAGCTCCACCTGGTGGCATGATCAACAGTGACATACTGTCAGGCAGGCTGCACAACAAGTTTGCCTAATACAACCCAAGTTGGGGGATGGGGGAGGAAGGCTAGAGCCCCACTTGCATCCTGCTTCTGCCAGAGCTCCTGAGTGATGGCATGACTCTAGCAGCCACTGTCAATCCATAAAAGGATGCAAGATTATTTCCAATGTATTCCCTTAAGGAAAAGCAAGTTGTGCACCTAAGACCATGTGCAAGCACAGCTACAGAATTCTTTGGGAGTAAGATTATATCATTGTATCAGATAAAATAAAGCAGAAGAAAGGCATGCATACAACCTGTTGCAGAAAATCCATAACATGAAAAGGAACAATGTGCTATATACAGATTGTGATAAGGTACCTCATCTGTGAAGCCATTGCACATAATAAACTTTCCCATTCTTGTAATAGCAAAGAGTGACTGCTGTTCTGGAAGAAATTCAGTAGCTACCAGCTCATCATCTTCTCCAGTGTGGTCTGACATGTTAAAGCATGAAACCACCTGTAAACACATGAAAAACATGATCTCATGTCTGGTAAACACACACACCATTCACCTTAATCACCTTTTTTCTTTGAGGCTATAATGCTCTTGAATTTGAATGCAAGCAAATGCAAACAACAACATTTTCATCCATTGAAATCAAACTTGACAGACAACATGCAAAGTTTTGCAGTGATTTTCACCAAAACACTGGCAATTTACAGAACACATCATCTAAGTAAAGCAATTCAGAACTGTGAGACAACAAAGAGATAGGATCACAACCAGTTTCCATCCCCTCTTACAGTTTTCATTTAAGCCACAACTTAGGGTGAGCATATAAAATAACTATATCTCAGCCAATACTGCCAATAGTCATGGAGGAGCTTATGCCTGAACTTGGAAGTTTGGATTCTGGTAAGACATAAACACATTTTACAATTTGAAATGTGGGCTTAAACTCAAGTGCTTCAGTTACAACGGTTTTCAGAAATTGCTATGTGAATCACACACTGGAAAGGAGCATTACTGAATCTTTAGCCTTCCTTGCTTGATTATCTACCTTGGCTCAGCCGGTATTGTGGCAAGCATTCTGCATGACATATCATCACACTTTTTGCTACCATCACAATTTTACACAACAATCTGCATAAATTGCATGCCACTTTCCCTCCATATCTACCACATCCAGGCATAGCTTTGCATGGCATATACTGCTTCATCACGCATATGCTGTTTTCTAACATCTCAACTTACCTTGCCATTATCGACCCTATATACACGGTCTGAATAGGATACAAATGTCACATTGCCATCGGGATCCGGGGAAATGAAGCAATGCCCTCGAAACGTTCTGTTCAATCGAGACGTCGTTCGCCTGCTGTAAACCATCCTGCCTATCAACCTTGCAAACAGCTAGGTTTCTCATAGCTTGTAACGATTGTATGTGTTCTTCAGGGGCAGGCGCTTCGTATCTTATTCAACTTCATTCACGATAACCCAATACAAGAATCCTCGCGCGCAGTCACGATTATTTCCCAGCATGTGGGAATGCTAGACGGAAATGGGCTGGTGGGAAATAGAAAACGCGTGACGGGAATAAGCTCTTTATCGAAGCATCTGCGCCATGATCACCCTAATATACAGCTACCATATATCACGGAAAATGTTTCTACCTTTGTTTATTTCCGACGCCGTAGCCCATGCGGATCTGCTTCACTCATCGTGTCCGTCAAAGATATAAGAAAGAGTTCAAAGTCCTAAGATAAGGGAGGGGGACAGAGCACTGGTATCCCACCCCTACTTGCCGGCTAACGGGATAAGCATTACCCAGCGACAGGTGACGAGATGACCTCGTCCCACTTCGTGAAAACAAGCGAGCTGTATGCCCATGACGTCAATGCGGTGGCTCAAGAGCCGACAGCTTCATGAGCGATGAATACATAATTTTTTTTCATGAATCCGTATCCAAAGAAACTGCGTCAATATTCAATGCATTTTATTTTCGACGCAAATGTCAAAAAGGTCGCTACAAGCTTACTGGTCAACGCGTGATTTATAACACCGTTAACAGTCACCACAGCAACGGTTGAGGTACTCATAGGACATCTCTTGGCGCAAACCACCCGATTGGCAAACGTTTTGTAAACTTCGTTTTCATGGAAGAACGGAAATGATAATGCATTCCACAAAAGATAGTGTTTATCAAATTGATAGGCAATGATAACTGAGCATCAATGACGCGAGAGCCGCCCGAAGGTCGACCCACTTCAAATCATAACACACGAGCACGCCGACCGAACTGAACATAGAATCATATCAGCATATATGAATGGACACTACCACTACACTCCATGGACACCGCCGCCACTATCAGAAGGCCCTCGACCTGTTGATAACGTTATCGCGCCGGCCATCCCGGTCTCTACCGCGCACAAGTTAGACCGACGCCACCGGCCACCCAAGCATTGACACGCTGACATAGCGCCGAATGCGTCACGGTGGGCGGTGGGGCGGGCACACAGCCAGTCAACACGTCCCACCCCAGTCCAACACCTCGGTTGTTCACCGTAGCCAGCAAACCTCGCACAGACCAGAGCGGCGCCGGCGCCGCCGCCGCCACCGCCGTTTTGTCCGGTCCGGCCGCTACGCGCCGGGATCGGCGGGCGGCGACGCGTGCCGCGGCCGACCCGGCTCCGGCTCCTCCAGCAGGCGGCGCAGCTCGGCGCGGCGACGGTTTAGCGCTCGCAGCGCGGGCACGGCGTCGGCCGCCGCCAGCAGCGGCTGTGGTACAGGCCGAAGCACTGTCGGCACTGTCGCGTCGTCTCCAGCTCGAACGGATAGATGATCTGACGGTTCGCGGCAGAACTCACATATGAACCCCTTCTGGCCTGCACAGGCTGCACGCGAGCACGTGACCCTGCGCGAACTCCACCAGCGCCAGCAGCGTCTTTCCCAGCGAGCCGAGTCGCCACCTCGCGCAGGTCAACCGGCGCGTACAGGTGCACGTGCTCAAACAGGTGGTGGCGGCCGGCCAGCCGCGAACGCAGCCTCGTCGGCCGCCGCGCTGCGGCACGTCTTCAGGAAGGCCACTGAGAAAACACGAGCCGCGTGCGGTGCAGGCGCACGCGCTCCATGTCGGCACTCACGTCATACACGTTCACGTTCACCTCCGACACGTTGATTGCACGGCGTGGCGTCCATGCGCTCGAGCAGCTCGCGGCTGCGCGCGGCCACCGCGTGACGCGCAAAGTCCCAGTTGTGCACCATGCGCGCCGGCAGCGCCATCATGTCCTCGCCCGTGTGGCAGTCGGAAGCAGGTAGAAGAGCGCGTCGAACCGACAGAGGCGCGGCTGGCCGTACAAGCATGCCGACGACGAAGCGGCGCATCCCGCCGCACGTGTAGTTCTGGCCGTCGAGGCCGCGCTCCGTGGCGATCTCGGTCAGCCAACGCAGCCGAGGCTCGTCCGGCTCCGAGTCGGACGAGCACGCCTCGTCCGGCTCGTCCACCGGCCGGCCGGCATCCGTCTCGGCCGCCGGCTCGGCCTTGGTCTGTGCCGCCGCGCCGGCCTCCTCGTCCGGCTTCGCGCCGGGCTCGTTCGGCTCGGCGCTGGCGCAGGGGACGAGCCGGCGCTGCCCCCGGGTGACGAGCTGCCCGGACTGCGGCACGAACACGAACTGCACGTCGGGTGTCTGCATGAGCGAGCGCGCGCGCGGCACTGTTCTCGCGGTACGACTCGAGCACGCTGATGTAGGAGGACTCGGGCGGCGGCGGCGCGGGCCCCGGGGCGGCTGCGCCGTCAGCTGCGCCAGCTCTCCGGCCAGGCTGCTCGCCTCCGAGCTGCAGCCGGAGCCGGACGGCGCCGGCCGCGACGGCGGCGTGCCGGCGCGCATCAGGTCGTCGGCCGACGTCGAGCGCATGATCACGTCGAACGCCATGTCCGGGTCGAGCGCGTTCATGATGAGTGTGGCGCCGGTCGGCTCCGGCAGCGGCAGGTGGCAGTCGGGCGGCGGCTGGCGGCGCGGCGCCGGCTCGGCCAGCGCCGCCGCCACGTCCTGGCCCTGGCTCACCGCACCGCCGCCCGCCTGCCGCGGTCGGAAGTACACGCCGGCCAGCTCCAGCGGCGCCTCGTCCCACGTGTTGAGCAGGCTCGAGTTGGTGGCCAGCGCGAACGGCAGCACCTCCAGACCCTGCAGGTAGCGCATCATGATGTCCACCTGCTCGCGGTCGCGCAGCAGCGCGAACTTCTCGTAATGGTAGCCGAGCAGGCGCCGGTCGCCGGCGATCATGCTCAGGTAGCTGGTGAGCAGGCCGTCGTTGAGCGCGGCGCGCAGCCAGGCGCGGCACTTGCCGATGTCGGTGTGGATCTGGGAGAGCCCGCTCAGCTGCGCCAGCACGGCGCGGTGCGTGACCACCAGCAGCGGCGGCCAGAAGTTGGGCTCGGGCCGGCGGCCGCTGTCACGCAGCGCGCTCGACACCAGCTCCAGGAAAGTGTCGCGCAGCCCGTGGATGAACATCGCCTCCAGCGTCAGGCACAGCTCGTTGGTCGACTCGCAACTGGGGATGTCGCCCTCGTGCTCGGAGAACTCGTGCAGCACGACCTTGATGCTCTCGTTGAGCTGCGCCACGATGCGGCGGCGCACGGCCTGCTCATGTGCCGGCGTGGCGCGCGACGGCCGCTGTGGGCTGAAAATGTTCATGTTGGCCGGCCGGGCGTGCAACCACCACTACACTCGCTCCGTCCAGCCGTGCTCCTCCTGCAGCACGCGGCGCGTAGCCGCCTCGGCGCTGCCGGCGCGCACGATCTTGAACGTGCCCGCCTGCGAGAGGTCCACCACGGTGCTGCCGAGCCGCGCGAGCGCGCTGCCGCCCAGCGCACCGCCGTCCACCACGCACGCCAGCAGCGGGTGCAGCTCGGCGAACTCGTCGGGCCGCAGCGGGCTTGGCGCGCCGCTGACGTTGGCGCTGGTCAGGGCGAGCGGGCCGCCGCAGCGCGCCACCAGGCGCCGCAGGAACGGGTGGTCCGGGATGCGCACGCCCACCAGCGGCGTGTGCGGGTTGAGGTGCGGGTTGAGCGCGGGCGAGCGCTCGAACACGAGCGTCACCGGGCCGGGCAGCAGCGCGCGCAGCAGCGGCTCGGGCGTCGTCACACGGGCCCACCGCTGGACCTCCTCTACGCGCGACACACAGATAGCGACGGGCTTGAGCTCGCAGCGCCTCTTGACCTTGTACAGTTGCGCGACGGCGTGCTCGTGCTGCGCGAGCGCCGCCAGGCCGTACACGGTGTCCGTGGGCAGGGCGACCACGGCGCCGCGCTGCAGGTGCGCCCGGACCGTCGAGCACAGCCGCCAGTCGGCGTCCGACAGCGGCAACAGCTCGGGCATGGGCGCCGGCCGGGCGCCGGCGGCGGCGCAGCGGCCGCGCGCGCTCGACGGCGGGATGAGAGGGCTCGCACGGGCCGACAGGCTCCGACAGGTTAGCAGTGACAGCGGAGCTCGCATCCAGCGCAGCGCGCACGCGGCGGGAGGGCCGGCGTCGACTAGTCCTTCCAGCGATGGCCGCACGGGGGGCTGCAGCACTTGTAGAACGTGGTCATAGGCTCGTCGGCCGAGCGCGTCTGGATCTGCATGAAGAAGGCGCGCCCGTGGCCGCACTTGGGGCACGTTTCGGCCGTTGAGTCGACGTTTTCCCAGGCGGCGGCGCCTCCCAGCACGTCGTCCACCTCCTTCAACTTGGGGTACGTGCGGCTGCCGACCTTACGGCGCACGTTGTGCACGTACGGACAGGTGGCGCAGGCGAAGCGGTAGCAGTCGCGGCCCTCCTCAATGGTCAGGATGTTGGCGCAGGTCGGACAGAACATCAACATGTCGCATGCTCTGATAGGAGGCCGCCCTGCGGGACAGCGTAGCCGGTCTCACGACTGCAACAGGACAAGATGTTACCATTGTGAGGCGACCAACCACCAATATGCTTCAGATACATTGTTTTGGACGTCCTTTGTATGTGCCATCTCGGGAGACCGATGACATCATGTTGTTTGATACAAACAATATAATCATGCTTCAGTAGTTGTATCGTGTTTTCAATGCAAAATGCATGTGCATCTGCATGTCTAGATATCATTGCAATTATACAGGTCATTTTGCACTTCTCAATGACTGCAATTGTGTGAATTAGAACATCCAATTGAGGAACAGCGCAACAAAACATGAAGTTCAAATGCAGGGATTTCTTTAACTTGTCAAGTGGTTATTTAGGATATTTAGTGAGCATGGTAAAACAAAATGGTCTTGGGTTTTAAGGTCACTTCAGCATCTGCTAAGAAGTGAAAGAGCTCGGCAGAAGTCGACATTCACATGCGATATTCCCATCATTAATTTCGCGTGCAAAATGGTACCTATTTATGTACCTACGGATGAGAACATTAACATAATTAATATATGCAGCTATTTCAAATTTTACCCATCCACCTGGCAACTATCACCCCCCTGAACTCACGAAGCGCGTGCCATTTTAAATCATTCACACGCCCTCCGCTAGAATCTACATATCGTAAGTCACCTATAACTGGAGGTCAACAGGTCACACGACGGTACCTGTACGTGGGAACGTTACATTACTTCTCCCACACTGCAACACCTCAGCATCCCTTGTCACCACAAGCCTCGGAAAACTTGACACACGGAGACACAACGGCACGCGATTGTTCACGGTTTTGCCAATGCTAGGAAGGGGGCCCACTGAACGTTTTGAGGCTTTTCTATGCAACTCTATACGTAGTGCATAACTCCAAAACGTGAGAGCGCCCATGGTGTGGCGACCCCTGCGTCGTCATCCAACCCAATCACACCACACGAATAGCGGTCGAGTCACATCTACTTCCTCGATGCCAACGACCGCCATTCCAAACGCCCCCACAGCAGCACAGCTGCAGGTTACACACACGCACCCATCGTCACACACACACGCACACGCACACACACACACGCGCGCGCGCAATCGGCGCGCCACCGCCACGTCAGCCCCCTGCGCGGCGCGTGACGTCACACTCGCGTCACGGCTGACGAACCAAGCGCAACGACGTGGCGGCTCCCACGCGATCCAATACAACCAGCGCCGTTTGCAGCACTGACGCAGGACGGGGACGACACAACACACACTGCGTGGCTGGGGCCGCGATCGTCCGAGACCCGGAACTGCGCTGTTAGGAAACGGGGCTGGCTACGGCGGCTCAGTGAGACTGATCCGCAAACAACGGACGGGTGAAAAAGGACAGCGTCGCAACCCAGATGTTCTGATCGTTGCCCTTTGCCCCCGGCTAGAGGACAAAGGTCCGCGGCGGCGGCAGTGGTCGTCTGCTGCGAGTCTGCACTGCGGGGCGTAGACTCGCAGCAGGCAGTCAGCTGCTGTCAGGCAACGTCGGGTCGATTTCTAGCGAAGCCTATCACGCTGTTCGATGGTGTGTGCCAAAAGGGCAGCGAGTTATCGAGCTGCGTGGCATGCCATTAGCGACACTCCTCAATTACGATGTTAGTTGGATGGGTCGGTTGAGTAATATCAGCATTATCTTGTCTATGGCCATCTCAGTACAATTGGGATCACGGCTCGCCAAGGGGCTTTGCTAGGGTAGCCTCACCTAAGTTGTGTACGAGCATTGAGAGCAGCGCTCATGCCATAATATTCCGGCACAGTCGGCTCACAAACGCATTCCTGCACGAATAAATTCACCATGTCTCTGCACTGGTTGACTTTAAAAGCTGCCTCAAAGATAAGTGCATACAGTCTCCCACACAGAACGTTGTAGCACGTTCTCATCACCACTATTTGAGAACCTTACCCAGAGCTCGGAGTTACCGTTTAAATCTCACGGAAAACATTCGGTCGTCTTGGGATGACGGATTGCCTTAATTTGGACGTGGTTCCGAGTCCAGCCAGGCTGGGACTCGGTGCCGGTGTCGAGTATCGAGCAATGGGATGCAACTTTGCATCTGAATAAGCTTCAGTCACACTAATATAAACGCACTATTCAGTCATACTACTACAGGGACTATCAAGCCTGGACATGACAGGATCGGAATGGGATAGCATATGGTGAGATTCTGTAACTCCGATTGAAACCCATCCTTCGACCAGTGAGCTAAATACTTCGCTCCGAACGTCAACACGCGCCCGGGTGGCCGGCTGAATACACTTCGCTCGGGTGGGCGGGGGTTAATCTGACCTCCATGACGGCCATGACCTGACTCTGACCTGCCACAGGTCAACGACCTTCCAAGGTACATCTCATTTTTACATCGGCCGCGCCGTTCAGAAATCATTCTGGAAACACCTTCAGGAGTGGGGGGGGGGGGGGGCAATTTGAACCCCATCCGATTGCGCGTTAAACATGCGATGTACGCACTGTCAGTCGCTGGTTTGCTGCTTTTGCAGTTATTTTGCATGTGCATAATTCACATGCTAACCGAACTTTTGTGGAAGGCAGTAATGACTTAATATGACACTCATCTGCATACATCCTAACTTAAAAACATTCAAGATGGCCAAAATATTATCCGTCCGACACATAGCAATTCAGAATGGGTCAAATGTTGAGCGGAGTTTAACCCAACTCCGGGAAAATCCACCATTCATGCCTCCACCTGCCATGTCCCTACAATGACAAAAATGAAGCAAAAATTCGTGCTCTTTCCGGCTTCCCCGTTCTCCTTAGAGGATCAGTCATTAATTATGCCGGCGCGTACTCTGGAAGAAAACGAACCAATTGGGAACACATTCGAACCGTGTAAAGTGTAGAACTAGAGGTGGACTAAAACCACACGCCACCGCGGGTTCGGACATTATCCCTTGCATTTCACATTCACATTTTCAAACAATCGCACATTCTGTTACAAGCGACTTCCATCTTCATCCACTTATCACCCAGATCCGATTTTAGCCTTCTCCTATGGGTGCTTTTTGCTATAGAATTACCCCCAGGCCTCCTCACTATCTGCTACTTGCAATTTCCCAGGGAAATCTTAGTGCCTGGATACCTTGCTTCTTGGGGTGCTTGATCTCAGGGGGTTAATTGTGAACCCTTACTGTCTCCATACTTTCAGTCATGCTGAGGACTGACATAATTGGGGGGGGGGGGAGGTAGTGTAGTGGTTAACGCGTCTGCGTTAACCACTGCGCGTCCGGGAAACCAGAGATACGGGGTACCAGAAACCAGAGGTATCCTCGCGGTGCTCACCCTTCCTGCCAGGGTGAGAAGCAGGCGACGCCATATAGCCTCAGCAGTTGGGTGCATCGTTAAGCCCCAATGACACACTGACACAAATATTGCCTGGTAAGCATAGACAGGTTTAATTGGTAGCAAGCATGTCCTAACTTTCAGCAGCTGTGTATGGTTAGTGCTTGTCATGCCTACACTAAACCAAAGGAACATGTCTCATCTAAGTCAAATTGGAACTGACTGTCACAGGAGCAACCACTTCTTAAAGCACTTTTGCTGCATCTCACATCCATCATGTAACTGACATCTCCATGGTGGTGAAGAGACCCTGGTTTAACAACCCAGTCAAGAAACCAAGTGCACACAAAAATTGTGCACCACTGCATTTAAGCAAAGATCCTGCAAAACACAAATACTGGGCAAGAGATGGTCTTTGAAGCTAAGATGCCCAAACCCACCAATCATCACTGAATATGGGCACGCAATGCCTACAACATAAATATAACAACAACCCCTCACATAATCTCATATTGACACAATATTAATACTTCAGCGAGCAGCCATGCGACAGACTTAGAAGCCATTTGCATATCGTCCAGATGTCTCAGTCCATGATATGGCAAGGGCATGGGTATACATTAAATTCTTTGCACAAAGAGACTGAATAATTAATTGTGAAATGTGACCCTGCAGATGGAATAAAATGTTTCACAAAGTTTGACATGTACTCTTTCATATTATGTTCCAAACATTCTTATCACACTGACAATGCCTACTCTTGAGGCTCTTGGTCGGCTTACACACCATCCAAAAATCTTTCAGATAGTTGTACGTCAAGCGTGCGCGGATTTTCAACCTTGGAGGGAAGCAAGTGCAAACATGCAGAATCTCGTGCTAAAAGTCCGCTCAATACGTTATGGGCAGAGACCATTACGAAATCGATCAACCCACTCTAAGTCAGTTCTTTCTGTTCACGAATTTTCGGCCGCCGGGCCTGCAGCCCCCAATGGATGGCTGATTATTAGCGTGCTTTCACATCAGACAGTAGGGTAGTCTCTAATGTCAATGGGGGGGGGGGGGGGGGTGTCCACACTCTATAGAAATATTGAGGATCCCGTGAAGGTTGACCGCAAATTTAAGTGAGCCCAGCGACTTGAAGAAACATGGGTAGTCCTATTTCATCTGGGAATGTTCAACTGCAAGTCAGAATCTATTAGTTAGAAGTTAGGTGCACACTACCCTTCCCGGTAACTCCTTAAAGATCATTCCGGCCCAACCTGGGGTGTCTACCAGCTGCTGTGTTCTGGCTACATGGAAGTGGGTTCGCCTGATGGGTTCGTCCGGAGGCCCTCACAGATGTACATCCTACATTGGTGCCTTCCCTGGGGCGGAAGGTCGTCTGGTGGCTTCTGGCCAGGGCATTTGACCCCGGATGGGCGCAAGAGCCTTTATTGGTGCAACAAGATCCCTGATAACCGCAGGCGGTCCAATAAATGCCTCAGAGACCCATGTTTGGCCAGCAAGCCCTTGGCTAAAACGGGGTGCAGGGCCAAGCAAGGGCCCTGGGTCACCACCGGCCGACTCGGGACTCCTTCCGTCACAGGATCCTCTGTTGGGACACTCCGGGGGCCTGACCGTCAAAAGACCACTCATTGTTGCAGGGGCTCCGACCAATGCAAGCCGCGGGCCTCGGCCTCGTTTCTCCTGGAGAAATGGGGGGGGGGGGCAGGGCTCAGAAACACGGAGTCGACTATTCGGTGCAGTGGTCTCCGGCCGAAACAGGCGCCCGCATTGTCCCAGGGGTCCACAATCGCTGAAAGAGGCATATTGGCTGACATTTGGGGTCACACGGGCCATACGGGCCAGGATGACCTGCAGCCTTTCGACCCTTATGGTCATTCAACCTTCTCATCGCGCCGTTGATCGCCAGTCTTGAAGGGCAACGTCGGTTCCTCTT